GGAATCAATATCATTTATCTATCACTAAACGACTTGACAGATAAATTGATGATTGATTTTATTTTGGATGAACCATGTGAGTGTTTGCTCAATGGTTCTTGGTTAGAGGTTCAACTGATTAACATAAGCTTGAGACGCAAATATTTTTCCGGCGGCTTTTGGCTCTATTCGGCATTTTTCATTATAAATTCTCTCCGGAAAGGTATGAAATTGTTCTTCGCAATTTAATCTCCATCTCATTTGGTTGAATTGAAATTAAGCTTTTGGTTCCAACTAAATCGATTAAGTTAAGAGTTCATGCTTCTGCTTATGTTTTAAATTTTTAAATTTAAATTTGGTAAGTTCTCTATTACAATCTTGTGATATTATTTTGAGTTGATGGAAATTAACCTTATGGATACTAGTTTCCTGGTTGAGCCATGGTATATGATTTCATACTTTAAAATTTGAATTTGGATACCATGGCACAAATGTGTCGTATGTAGGCATTCAAGTTCATATCTTAGTTGAATGTATGAACTAATTTTACAGAAATTTAGAAGGCTTAGAAAACTTTCAAGTCCCAAATCTCTCGATCTTGAGAAGCTTGAGTTATATGTATCTTGTTCACATGTTTTTTGGGATTTTCATGTTCATGAATCTATTACCCTTGTATTGAAGAGAAGAATTGCACGGGTAGTGTTGAGATTTTTTGCCTATATAAACTTATATTTTAACTACATTGGCTTATTTATTGCATGATTTAACATTGTAGTCCGGTCCATAATTTTTTGGAATGATGAATTAAAGGATGGTAGTGTGGCTTTTGCATTGAAATTCCATATGGTTAACAAATTTGGATATTTTGCTGATGTAGAATTTAAGCGAAGTTGTCTAAATAACTAAATCTTTTTCTTTTATGGTGAAAAGGGATGCCTTGCTTGTTGTAATCATCAAAAGAATGAAATTTTTGTTACCTATTTGCATTTTGTGTAGCAAACATATAGTGAGTGGTCATTGTTTAGCCAAATTCTCATCAATGCATATTTATCTGACAGCTCTAGAACAATAATTTGATAAATTTTCCTAACTCGAATTTTGATGAAATTATGTCATGTCATGTTATATAATGAATTCTATACGTGCAAAAATTTTCACGTCTTTTGGACAAGAAATGGATTTATGGTAAAATTTGAAGTGTGATACCATGTTGCTGGAATTCTGCAGACTTCTGTAGAATAGTGTGTTTGTAATATTATTTTAATATATTTATGTAATTGATAAATTCATGAAATTTTAGTATGATATACATTGAGATATTTATTTCAAATCTGGAAATTTTCACGGGCATTGGTTTGAAAATAAATCATTAGTGAATTTTTAATCTCGAGACTGTACTGCAGCACATTCCATTTCGATTTTATTCTTAGCCCACTTTTAAGATTGCAAAAATTATGGAACTTTTGGTGACAATAAATGTATCTGTCTAATTCATTTCTGGAGATTCTCATGCATATTGGAGACAAATTGAATTTTTGGTGAATTATTTAGTCTCCGGTATGTACTGCAGAATTTTTGGCGTTTCTGCAGCACATCCCATTTCTAATTTTCTTTTAGTACACTTTTAATCTCTCAAAAATTATGAAATTTTGGGAATTAACAGATTTGTATGTTTACCTTATGTCTGAAAATTTTCATGCATATCGGATGAACAATGAATATTTGGTGAATTTGTAATCTCAGGTCTGTACTGAACATTTTCTGCATTTGCTGCACCTCTCTTTTCGAATTCATATTTTGGCTCGTTTAAAAGTTTTAAAAATCATGAAATTTTGCGAAATAGTAGCCATATATGTCTAGTGCATACCTAAAAACTTTCATGGCAATCTAACAAGAATTGATTTTGGGTGAATTTGCAAACTAAAGTAGTATTGCTAAGTTTTTTTTGAATTTCGAAAACTACATATGTTCTGAAATATTGTTTTCAATGATTTGTGCACATCTAATGGTATCAACTATTTGACATGTTTAATTGATCCTATTTGTTCTTATCTTGTGCAAATTCTCAATACTAATGATTTCTATTAAGCAACATTGATTAAATTTGGTTGAAAAGAATGTATTGGTTTGTTTTGTGCAAACCAATATTTTGTTTGGTCATCAATTATGATTATGATGATCATTGTCTATTGAGACAAAAATTGAAAAGTGATATCAGTTTACTAATTGATCATTTTGTTCTCTATCGAATAACTGAATAATCATGTTTCCTCTTTCGAGAACTCTATTGTTCAATGTTAATAGCGACATACTCTTGTGTCTGATTTAATCTTTTGAGAATCATTGAATATCCAACAAAACGGTTATTTAATACTGTTCGAAAAGATTATTTTGAAAAATCAGAATTCTAATTTATAAGGTGAATACTTTTGTCCCAATGGGAATTTCAGGAAATCACTCACCAATTATAAATTAGTATTATAGCAAATCATAAAGTACTTCTAACATATTTTCATCTGGCCAAAGCTGTTGAAGCTATATGTATTTTGTGTATTTTATGTTTTGGCTAGCTATGCAGGTATTTTCTTTGCATGATTAGTTTCTGCCCAAAGGTGTAACAATCATGCAATTTGGAGTTTGTTCGATCCTCCACAACTCGATTACTTCCATGACGAATCTTGTAGAATCGAGAATGAGTAGGTAAATTTGCCAATCTTTTGCCTTAATTTTCTGTAAGTTCTAATTTATTGTTGAAAAATTGATGTTGTTGAGATATCTATGTGTTTACTTTAATCGACTTTGTTTTAGAATTAAAACATAAATTTTGAGTTTGGATTCTCTTATTAGGTTTCATTTTAATTTATGACCCAATCTTTAACACATATGTGAGACTTATCTCATACACTAAAATAAATTTTGTAGCCATTAGTTTATCTAATCACTTGTCACTTGTAGATCGATTAATAATGTTGAGATATTGTTCCTTATAAATAAGCCTAATTTTGCTACATATAGATTGGTTTATTATGTCCAAACCAACTATTTTGTGACTCAACAAATTTATTTAAGAAATTTTCGTGTTTTGAGCATATTAAAGATTGTAAATTGGTTTTATTTAAATTATGATTAATTCTGAAATTTTGGTAGAGCTTACACTACGTTTATTGATTCAACTAGCCTATATTTTGTTATATGAAAACCACTTTCTCCAGTGTTTAATCTTGCAATTTTGAGTGTTTGCCCAAGTGGGAGAAATAATGTATTATGGGCTTCGCACTCATCAATTTTGCATGTTTTTTAATGGTCATAGTTTTGGTAGATACAACGGACATTATCATACTTGTTTATATTTTATTTGTTATATATGCAACTAATTGTGTAGGAAATTCAAGAAGGGTTAATGAGTATATTCTGCTCAAAAGTGTTTTGCTTATTAATTCTTGTATGTTGTTCAAGAAATTGGACTTGTGATTTATATGTTATTGATGGATAATTAATCTGCTCAAAAGTGTTTTCTTATTCAGTACAACTATAAATCAATGTATAGTGAAGCATGGAATTGACAAGATGGTATATACTTCATCTGCTCAAAAGTGTTGAAGCTATATACGTTTACCCTTGTATTTTATGTTTTAGCTATGCAAACCTAATATAATTAGTTTCTGTCCAAAGATGATTCTAGAATTATATGCTTTTGATGCATTAGAAAACATTTAGTTAAAGTTTTCTATTTCTGTCAAATGTTAGATGAACAAAACTGACCAAATGATTTTGTATAGTTTTTCAGTCACAAGAGTCACTTCCCTACAAATATCTAGAATAAAGATGTTGAGCTCACAAATTTTATGTTTTATATCCCATGACTAATGTTTTGCAAATGGGAGTTTTTGAAAGGTATTTGTTTCATTTTGTAGACATTTACAAAGTTTTGTTTTACTCTCTTAATCAGTGGGAGTAATAATACTTTATCTATATATAATTTTGTCTCTGTTGATCAATGGAAGTAAGAGATTACCTTTTGTGTTAAAAATTTGAAGTGTTAGTGATTGATACTTTAAGAGTAAATTTTGTTCATAAGTTTTAATAAGAGGTCTTGATTTTGTAAACAATATGTCGTATTTTACTTGTTCTCTTATTATATTCTAAATTGACAGAAAAGTTGGATTTTGTTACCAACCTTGTTGAGTTCTTTTGTGAACTACTTTTGTACTGGTTTTCAGTTCGACTATTGTGAGCTAATGTTTTGACTATTAGCTCTTGATATCATGACTTTGTTAGTAACATAGTGCTTTGAGTTAAGTGTGCATGTAATCATGGAGTGCAAGGAACTCTCCAATGTGTGCCTTGTTTTCCTTGGTTCTGCATTTAGTCTCAAAGTGACAAGTTACTTAAAACGTATGATTGCATACTTTAGTGGACTCAAGTGATCACCATATATATTTATCTCGTTAAGGGGTTCTCATTGACATCCAAGTGGGAGAATGTAAAACCATTTGTGAATGACAATGAATTATGCCGAGAATCTTTGAGAGAGTAGTTGACTTGGTAATCAAGTTAATGAAATCTTTTATGATTCTTGGAGCCTTAAAAGAATAAACATATTGGAGTCCTAATTACTTGCAATCAATTTATGGCCCTTTTATTAAGAGAATACAAGGTATAAGAGTCATGATGGGACTCTAATTGATTAGAAAAGATTAGGGTGGATATCCTTTCCGTTAATAGGGTGGAATTGGTTGAAACCCTAGCTATATAACCAAGAAGCAGTCCCTGCTTCCATACCGTTGAAAATCTCACAATACTACAAACCTATTTCGCTAGTAGAATTCATAAAGAGGTATTGGAAGTAGAAGACTACTTCTGTTATTCATTCAATGGCGACTCCATCAGGTAAGTCATCCTTGCGACTAATGTGATGCTATGATTTGGTTGTTACTGATCTGTTTTTTTATGTTGGTAATCCTAACACTGCGTTGGTGATATTGTTAGCTTAATTTTTTATGTAATTCTTACACTTACTGCATGCAACTTCAGGGAAGGTGCTTCCTTTTCTACCATACAAATTAAAAATAAAAGATTATCTGTCTTAAATTGTCTTCTCAACTGCAAGTATTGGATTGTTTTCGTGGATGTGACCTTCGTCTCCAACCCACTCTTCTCAATTACTAAAATGCTACAAATGCACTACCAAAATACTAAATAAAGGTCTTTGAAATTCCATAAAATTCTATGAAATTTATAACTCTTTTAAAATCCTTCAAAATCTTAATTGAACACACCTCTCTAGGTTTTGTCATCCAAAAACCGTCCCTGCCCTCAGAGGGTACTTTTATCGATACCCAATTTTATGTTAAGTTCATTAACTAAGAAATTTTTGTCATAGCTTCCCAATTATCCTCCACTAATAACACTAGAATTTTCAAGCCTCCCTCCTCCCTCTCATTTCATTGCACAAGTCAATCTTTGCTATTGACCGACTGTGTCCAACAAACATCATTGACTGACTTTCCTCTAAGATATTTTCTAATTAATAATTGGAACTTCACACGGAAGGTGCTTCCTTTAACCCCATTCCTATATTATAATATGAGTATGTATACAACCGTCTAAACAACTTTCTCTCTCTCTCTCTCTGTCTCTTCTACCCATGGAAAAAAGTGGGAGCAGATCCTTCACCTTGTCTTGGTGGCCTTTCGTTCTAGCCTTTCTTGTTCTTTGCTTTTGCAGTAAAACTTGTAACGCTAAGGATGATAGTAAGTCTTCATGTACCTCCTCCTGCGGCCTTATCCATAACATAACTTATCCTTTTCGACTAAACGATGATCCGAAGACATGTGGCGATAGAAGATATGCTCTTTCCTGTGAGAACAACAATACAACAGTTCTAGATCTACTTGATTATGGCAAATACTACGTACAGGCAATCAACTACAAGAACAACACAATCCGACTTCTAGATCCTGGCCTTGACAACAACAATTGCTCTTCCATGCCTCGAAATTTTCTGCCCCTCTATCCTTATATGTCATATACATATGATTCGCAGAATGGCACAGATTCACCGCTTTCAACATCAGTATTTTACTTGATGTGTAGAAACCCAGTGAATTCTTCTCTGTACGTAGATACTGCTCCATGCTTGAATAATAGTGCCACTTCTTTGATCCAACCAAAATCTTATAGTTATGTCATGGTTGGCCGCCCAAGCCATATGGATATGGAAGATTGGAATGAGGGTTGCAGTGTCGAGCGGATGGCTTGGATGCTCGTGGACTACTCTAAGGGGTACTACAATGCCTCTTATAGTTATGAATATATACACAGTGCACTCATATATACACAGTTCAACCTGCAATGGCACGTATTACATTTGGACTCCGACTACTTATTCCATGTTCAACCTGCAATGTTTTCCCCGCACCATCCCAGGTGCGTAATTCTCAAATGAAGCACTAACTTATAATTACTTTGTTCTCAAATAAGCTTATTTGATTGATCGCTTGTAGGTCTATTTTACATTGTATTTCAATGATTTAACTGTCTATCTTTTACTTCTTTCTTTAAATGCCAGTCATACTAGTGTTTTTTGAAAAATCGTTTTCTTTTATTTGCTTTACTACAATTGAATGTGTTTATGGTTTTGGATTTTTCTAATTTTTTTTATCTATGAATGATGTACTAAAATATAAACAGTTTGGATCGTTGTATACAAAATGAGCAGCACCAGTTGTTCCTCAACGGAAGAGGAATATATATTCTTTCTTTGCGAAACCTCCTGCTAAGCCATTCATTTTGCTTGAAAAATATATCAACAATATTCATATCGTAACAATATTATCTTCATAATACAATATTTATGAGGTTATCTGAACTATATAAAGAGATAAACATTTCATCCTATTAAGACTCTGTTTATATTGTGGTTGTTGTCTATATTTCTATTACAGCTAAACACTTTTAATTGTTTTTCTTAAGCTAAATTACACTTTATCGCCTTAGGTTTGAGATCGATTTCAATTCCTTACAACATCTTTAAAATATTTCACTCTTATACCTCAACTACTATTTTATTTCAATATAGTACCTCATTACATTTTTCATCCATTAATCCGTTAAGAGCTGCCGTGGCTGTCAAATTGATGTGGCAAAAAAAAAAAAAAAATTATTCATTTAAAAATAATTAATTAAAAATAATAATAATAATAAAAAAAAAACCCAGAAGCCATCTTCTTCCCCGCCCCCTTCCCTGCAACCCGAACCCCCCATACCCCCACCCAAAACCCCAAAAAAAACCCAGCTGTTCAACCCAAAACCCCAAAATCAAAAGGGGGAATTGAATTCTCAAGACGAAAAAAAAGCACTTCACACAGATCCAATCAGAGCAAAACCCAGATTCAAATTAAAACCCAGATGCAAAATCCCCAAATGTAACTGAAAACCGCAGCTTAGAAGGAGCTAGAAGATTACCTTACCATCGACGATAAGGCAGCAGTCCTTGCGATCATTGTGAGTGGAGACCTCAGTCAAAGCAAAGGGAATTCTAGAGCGAGAGAGAGAGAGAGAGAGAGAGAGAGAGGAGAAGAGAAGAGAAGTGGACTGAGAAGGAGAAAGCAGCTACAAGACCCGATCCGTCTTCTTCTCCTTGTCTCCGCGGGGGGCACCTCTGTGTGCCTTCTGCAACTCTCGCTTCCAAAAAACCCAGCTGGGTTTTTTAGGGTTTTCGGTTTTTTGTGGTGTGGGGGTGGGGGGGGGGGGGGGTGGTGGGGTTGCGGCGGAGATGGGGATGGGGTGTTTGGGTTGACCCGGGGGGGGGGGTCGGGGAAGAAGATGGGTTCTTGTTTTTTTTTTTTTTTTTTAATTAATAACTTTTTTAATTATTTATTTTTAAATGAATAAAAAAATAATTTTTTTTACCACGTGTTTTAAATTTGGCAGCCACATAAAACAAATGTGGCAACCACGTCAGCTTTTGACGGATCAATAGAAAGCTAACGGATCGATAGATGAAAAATGTAACGGATATACTATATTGAAATAAAATAGTAGTATGAAAGTGAAATATTTTAAAGATATTGTAAGGAATTTATATCAACTTCAAATCTAAGGTAATAAAATGTAATTTATTATTTTTCTTATATAATGGCCATTTCCCAAAACTATATCCCAATTTTGCAGTCAATTATATGACAAATGAATTATGTTGCTTTATTTCTTGTGTATGCTAATGCTGTACAGGTATCAAAAAATGGCAGCAACTTGAATTTTATTTTCTAACAGTTGTTATGCTAATGTTGTTTTGTTCTTTTACTGTAGGTTTCTTTCAATATCGATGGGCTAAAATCCGTAAGTGGTCCCTCTCCAAAACAAAAATGAAGAAAATAAGTCTCTCCTTTTTGTTTCTCTTTAAAATTCAATATTTACGATTTTAGAGTATACACAAGCCTCTAACTTCTGTAGTTAGATTTCAACGTGTATCCTCTTCCAACAAATTATAAGTAAGTAAATTATGTCACATAACAAACTTGTACGTCATTCTTTTTTTTAATATTACAATATCATATATTAACTTATAAATTCGTTGCAATATTAGACTTCTGTATTTTTATCATTTATTTGTCTATTAAATGATGACCTTGCAATTGCTAGCCACTCCCTTGCCCAATTGAATTGAGAAATGGAGTTTTAACGAAACAACTCCGGTACTGTTCACTTTTAATGAAAAACCATATTTTTCCTTTTCTGTTACTATTCACTTACACCTTTATTTATTCTTTTTCATTAAAACTAAATTTTTTTGGACTTTTCGTTAATTTTCCTATTGAGGAGAAATTAAATAGTACTAGATTAAGGTTTTTGAGTAGTCTCGCACACTAGCGTGTAGCAGTGTGCGAAGGATTTTGAAATTCTTAATTTATTAATATTTAATTAATTTTTCAATTCAGATGGGCGAGAGAGTGGGTCTCGCATCTGTTACGTAAGCAGTTAACAGACAAATTGATGGATAAGGAGACAGAGGTCTAACGTTGTAATGGATACGTAGGTTAATATATGATATTGCAATGTTCAAAAAAATGAAGTAAAAATTTGTTGTGTGGCCCAAGATTGGGGTTGTGAATAATTACCCTATAAGTAAACATGGCAGGCAGTAAACTAAATCATCTTTGAAATTTGGCATTCTCTTGTTGGTTATATACCAAAAGCGTAATTGTAGGCCTCGCTGAAAATGTATGTTTCAAAACTTGATGATGTAACACTAACGAAGACTCGTTGTGGTATTGCTAATGTTGTGTATTTTTTTCACTTCTGTCACTGTAGGTTATACTCTGAGTGGAACCGCGGATCTTGGTAAGGACTGTCTCTTCAAGTGCTAGCTTCTGTCTATATAGTCCAGTGTTTTGCCGGTGCTGAATTTTGTTTGGTATTTATTGCAGGATACCTTCCTCGATGGTTTCCATTCCATTACATCCATTCCATCGGTAAGACAGAGCTTGTATTTCTTGCATATATGTAGTCAAGTCTTTGATTTTTATTCACTTTTCAAACATATAGCCGTTGATATAATTGGCTGTTACTCTTTGCTATTTTGTTGCAGTGGGTGGATGGGAAATACTGATGGGCATCGGTAAGAAAAGCTTGAATTATTAGTTGTATATGTGCGTGTGTAGATTCCAACTTGTCATGAATGAAACAAAGTAAAATGTAATTTAGAAACAAAAGAAGTTGAAGAAAGTTGAAAGTAGTGTGGATCTAACATATAAGTTTCTTATCTTATGATTCTTTTGGTGATATATATTTTTGCAGGCTTATTTTTTACAGCAAGACTACTGTTTGGCATTCCAATTGCGGCTGTATTTTTAGTCTATAAATGGCGAAGAAGACATTTGTCAATGTATAGTACAATAGAAGACTTTCTCCAGCGCGATAAGAATTTCGTGCCTATAAGGTACTCTTACTCGGACATCAAGAAGATGACTCGAAGGTTTAAGGATAAGTTGGGCGAAGGCGGCTATGGCTCGGTATTTAAAGGAAAGTTACGCAGCGGCCGTTTTGTAGCAATTAAAGTTCTGGGCAAGTCCAAAGCTAATGGCCAAGATTTCATTAGTGAAATAGCTACCATTGGAAGGATTCGCCATGTCAATGTGGTGCGACTCGTTGGTTATTGTGTTGAGGGATCAAAGCGTGCTCTAGTATATGTGTTCATGGCTAATGGCTCTCTTGATAAATACATTTATTCCAAAGAAGGAAGTGTGCCTTTAACTATCGACAAAATGTATGAGATTTCTCTTGGAGTGGCTCAAGGGATTGAGTATCTACATCAAGGTTGCGAGATGCAAATTCTCCATTTCGATATCAAGCCTCATAATATTCTTCTTGATGAGAACTTCAAAGCAAAGGTTTCTGACTTTGGGCTAGCAAAGTTGTATCCCGTCGATAATAGCATTGTCACGTTGACGGCAGCGAGGGGTACAATGGGATATATTGCTCTTGAATTGTTCTACAAAAATATTGGAGGCGTCTCACACAAGGCCGATGTCTATAGTTTCGGAATGTTGTTGATGGAAATGGCAAGCAGAAGGAAGAATTTGAATACAAGGGTAGAGCATTCAAGCCAAATCTACTTCCCACTGTGGGTATACGATCAGTATAATGTGGGAAATGACTTGGAGATGGACAACGTAACAGAGGAGGAAAAGAATGTAATCAAAAAGATGGTTATAACCGCCTTGTGGTGCATTCAAATGAAGCCAACCGATCGCCCTTCGATGCACAAATTAATCGAGATGCTTGGAGGAGATGTTGAATGTCTGCAAATGCCCCCCAGGCCTTCTCTATGCCCACAAGAGACTCATGTGGCTGTGGGTGACATTCAAGACCCAATATGTTCAAACGTAGAGATAACATGTTCTTTGGCAGCTAGGTGATGATCAAGTTCTTAGTTATAAAAGTGAAATAATGTATTATAAATTCTTACTTTAAAAACAGATTTAATTAGTGAAGAACTATTATTCGAGGTTGATATTGAAGAACCTGGTCCTCCATAGTAGACTGACTAGCTTATCAAGCAGTCAAAGGTTTTCTTATTTTTGCTCTTCTCATCTACCCATTTGCACGGATTGCCATGGCCTACCTTTCACGAGCTTAATGAGCTTCTTCATCAGTCTTGTCCATCTATTTTTTGCGCTTCGCCCCAATAGACAAGGCATTGATGTCTTGATGAAGAAGAATATGATATTTGGATTTCACCCCAAACCTCTTATGATATACATTGTAATTGAACCCAGTTTGATCACATTTGGCCAAAATTTGGTGCTTGACATGAAGATCACCTATCCATGTGGTATACACACACAAATCCCCCTTATACTTTTTTAAACCATAATAAAAGTGTCATGTGTCACAAGTCAAACACAAGAATATCTATCAATTAGAAAGTGAGACTTCTGTCTTAATTGTGTGGAAATTTCATTATTCCAACTGTGAACCTACAACTCTTGTTCCTTCAAAAGACTTAAAAAGTCATAAAATTTTTTATTATTCTAAAGTCTCGCGTCATTGAATTCCTCACAATTTAAAAATGATATATTAATTGCATTGAACAACATTATCGATCATACAATGCCAATACAATCAATTGTCCCCATCTCTAATTGAAAATTAGTCAAATTGCATGAATCATTCATGCGGTGCAGTCAATCGTCCCCATCTCTAATTGAAAATTAGTCAAATTACACGAATCATTCATATGGTGCGGGTCATATGTCAGTGTCACCCGTGCACACGAGTAACATTGACATATAACCCATATCGCGCACTAATGATTTGTGCAATTTAGCCTCCATCAACATTTGCAACCACACAAACAACCATCGTTGTTGAGCTGATCTGGAATCACTTACAAGTGGGGTGTTGTTTGTATCCTTTCTCGTCACTTTTAGTAACTTGTAGCTAAAAACAAGGCTCATGACATGAGTATGCATTTGTGAGATTTGGAATGGAAATATCTTATAAATTACCATCATCGGTTACAAGTTTGTAACCATAGTTTTATCAGTTAATACACCAAACCTGTAGAATGCTAGAAAACTTTTTTTTATTATTCCTATATGTAGATTTGCACACACACACGAGTCGAAGTTTTTATTAATCTCTCTCCGAAGCAGCAAGCCCCTCGTCCGTCCGCTGAAACCGGTGTGCTGTCTATTTGAGTTGATCTAAACATCAGGAGCGGCTTCTCCTGCGTTTTCAAGTGTATTAAATTTAGATGTTGGATCAGGCCAACAAAGCAAGCGCTACACCATGTGAGACATATCGTCTCATAATAGCAATCGTATTGTACAGATCATAGCAGCAGGCATATGATATAGATTACATACATGGTAATCTATCCGAAAACAAAATGCAGCGACAATTGATAGACGCGTAGGACAACAAAATATGCTTTAATTTTTTTTCCATATCTTGGAGTGTAAGAAATTCAGTAAATGTGAGTGTAGGGTCAGTTTGAATCAGCTTTGATTGATAAGAAATGTGTAAACAAAGAGCTTCTACCAATGTTGATCCTTTGGCTAGAAGAAGTTACATGCACAAGCATACATGAATCTAAGAATATACATTCGCCACTCTACATTATTTCATTAATTGGATTTCAGCTTCTCGTATAAGCTCCAGTTTTAGAGAGAAGGCTTGAATTAGAGCTTATCCGAGATGCCTGATTGTGGCTTATGCAGGGGTTCAAAGGGTGCAACCAAGCAACACAACATAATATGAGGAAAAAAAAAACCTCTGAGCGTACAAGAGGACGTGCCAAAGAGTGCATTGTATTTCTTATTTTTCTTGCTATAAAATGAAATATATGCGAGTTTGTGCAAACGGGTGCTCATGCTTGAGTGTGTAGCAATGCACGAAAAGAGAACCATGTGGTCTTACAACTCTTACCATGCATTCTCTTGACAAATCGTTCGAACTCCGTTAAGTTATGCTTCTCAATGAGAACTGGGCTTAATCTGAGATAGGTAAATGCCGATAAATGCCTGCCATCTGGATCGTTCCAGGGCTTAGCATTTTCTAATATCTTGTTGTAGCCTTCTCTGTCAAAGCAAGTAAGAGCATTCTCACTAGCAACTGGAATGTTAGCATCCCATGCAGCATTCAGCACCTGAAAAAAATTGAAATCCAAAAACATTATCAAAAAGAAACAAAAAAGCTACACAGATAATATTTTGGTACATAATCCAAGGGAAACTGACATTTCACATGTAACAACAGACCGCCCCTCTTGATCCAGTGTTACTTGCCCATGTTAGTTAGAAAAATTTTAAAGTATTTGTTTGACAGATGGAGAAGAATGAATTTGAGCAGATCATTATTCACAAAATAGCAACTGACTCGGACACTAAATGTGGCCACCTTCCCAAGAATAAAAGAAGTATGCATATTCAGCTCAAAATTCTAATTGATGCTTTTTAAGTTTCTACTCATCCAGCTCACTTTTCCGAATGGTGGTGATTTACATATGCTTAAAATCCAGGAAGTAATTACACATGAGTTTCTGTGCTTACCTGCCAAACTAATCCTCGGGGTCCTGCCAGTGCTTCCGGAAAGCCCTCATGTTGGTCTAATGTGCGCATTTCAACACATGTGAAATTCAGAGCAGCCTCATGCTTTTTTAACATTGCAGAAATTGGCGCATACCCATCACGATTGCAGGAGTTGTAAAATCCAGCAGTTAATTCAGCAGGATGGCTGGCAGTCTTGTACCACAGTGGATACTGATACCTGTCATAAATCAAATAAAGAAACTCCACAAAAAAAAAAAAAAAAAAGAGGGAACCGTGTAGAACTAATGTCCAATAAAGTGACTCACCTTTGTAGCAATGCGTGTGCCTTCAAAAGCTAAATTGGCCAGAGCAAGTTACACGGTCACCATGATCCATCAAAACACGGGAGTACCAATTAAGAAAGAATCTGCCATAGTAGCTATCATAATCCCTCCGTCACGGAAAAAACCTGGTCTCATGTGGTTGGGAATTATAAGAGCCTGCATTATCTGGTACTCTGGCCCAGAAGGAGTGGCCCCTTTCTTCTGCAGCCTGCGTCAGATTCTTCATCAAGTATCGATCATAACACTGCACCGAACCAGGTTGAATCAGAGAACTATTTCAAAGTTCAGATAGAAGTAATAAATCAAATGAGCTACTGGCTGAAGGTCATAATCACAGATGAATGAAGGGCTACTAAATTAACATTTACAAATAACTGTCAACTCCTAGCTATCATGCCTGCCACTAATGAAAGGAATGATCACCATTTATTAAGGTACCTGGAATTCACCAATACCAGGATATTTCCAACCATGCTGTTCAGGATAAGAAGGATACCGTAGCTCTCCACACGGACCTAATCCAACTTCAATTTCTGATATTATTCCTTCCTCAAAAAATTCATCAAATTTAACTCTGAAACTCCTCATGTAGTCGAAGTAAACCTGCATTGGTTCCATTATAAAATAACAGAATAGAAACTCTCACCATCAAACAGTGAGAATGCATAGGGTCTGATTCTTATGGCATACAAAAGAAGAGTTCTTAGAAATAAAGAACGTATAAAAGTTGGAATAGGTTTACCAATAGCTTCTTTTAAAAGATAAGTAGAACATGTAAAAGAAATCAAATATAGGAAAGGAGCTATGGCAATCCATAGAAATTAAAAAACCAGCATAACTAAGTAATTCTCGAATACTATACCTCAACAGCAGTGCGGCCTCTTAAAACCCGCTCTTTATCAATTCCCCATGTGAGACATTCAGTGTTGCGTTTCCCTTCTTTATTAGTAAAATATATATCAGGATTCTTTTGGCCAATTTCTGTCACCCAGTGAGGAAGTGAGATATGCACATCATCCCCGACATTGCCTCCACACTCGTGTAATGACATCACGACCTACAGCAATACAGAGTAAGACAATGCACACCATATCCAAAATGCATATTCAAAGGAAAAATGTAAAGCAGAAAATCTTTCTCTTGTTTAAAATGAGTTTTAACTGATAGTCTCGCAAACTAATTTACAAAAGGAAAAGCTATCAGTGCATTACTTTTCCGCAATCTACTCAAGACTTTTATGCCCCTTTACCTAAGACAATAGCCAGTCAGCCACTTAGTATTACGATCAAGTGGTATTCCTCTTCACTTGTAAGTGAGAGGTCTTAGGTTCGATTCTCGCCAAAGGCGAGTTTGAACCATATAATTGCTAGCCCATTGTGAGGCTAAGCCCACCCCTCCCCCTTAGTGGATAGATAATATCGTTTGTTCAAAAAAAAAAAAAAAAAAAAAAAGACAATAGCCAGTCATTAACTGAAGACAACCAATTAAGAAAGAAAAGGTTGGTACAAATCACCCCGAATGATTATCTGGCCAAATCAAAGCCTTCTGAACTGTTTCAGAACATGTATTTTGACTGACAAAATTTAACTCTAAAAATGAAAATATACATCACGTATCAACAAAGGTCAAATAAGTTTCCAAGACCAATTAAAAAAGTTTCCAAGACGATTTTTACAGATTTATGTCCTACAGCAACAAAAGTGCATCATGTCGGAGACAAACATGATACTTCCAGAATCATTCATTGTACAAGGATACTTAACATTATCAGTTCTAAAGGAAAGAAAAAACCCAAATTATCAGATTAGTGCAGGTTAACATCTGTAAAAACTGAAAATCTGAAATTCGGCACTGTAATTGACATGGCTACTGAAAGGAAACAAGAAACAGACGATGAAATACACAAGCAAAGAGAAAAAAGAAAATGCTAGTATAAGTATATATCACTCACCTGTAACTTAAGGTTAAGATCGCGCACAATTTGGAATAGTTTCTTGTAGCCACTCCAATTATATCCCTGCGGACTGTGTGCCTCTACAATTCCCCACCAGCAATCAACCATAACACCATCAACACCAACCGACTTCAACACTTGTAGCTGATTTCGCAGAGCTTCTGGCTCAACTAGCTCGG